CAGCGCGGCCGGGGAGCCGCTCCCCGCCGAGTGAGCCTTTAACTCGGGTTTCAGCAGAGCTGCCTGCTTCAGGCTTTTAGGAAAATCTTACCGAATAGAAAAAAACATAATAATAATCCTTTAGTGCAATAGGGTCTGCAATTATTTAAAAGAAGCCCAAACCACTAACTAGTTCAAGAGGTACGTGCTTTTCCTTAGAAATGAATAAAACGTGATCAATGTTCTGAACGTCATCTGATGTAAACACCAGGACAGCAGGCCTGAAATGGTAGACCCTGCAGGAGGGAAGGGTTGTGAAAGAACAGTGAAGGCCTGTCTCGATTCTGTGAGTACTGGATATCAGGAGTGTGAAAACTTACTTAGGTTCAGGTCATAAATAGGCTGTCCTTGAATGTTGTCCCTTACGTATTCTCATTGTGAAGTCAAATAGAGAAGGAGCACTGTTGGTTATGTTGTGAAGATGATTATTACACAACAGAAAAAGCACAATCTTTAAAGAGTAGAGTTACAAAAAATTATTTAAGTAGAGCTTCTTGTCCCACAGTTATCTTTTTTTTTTTGTGTGTGTGTTTTCTTTTAGGAAATATAGTCACCATGTCATCTGCACTGTTGCCTAAGCCACAGATGCGGCGCCTTTTGGCCCGGCGGATGAAGTTTCACCTCTTTGGGGCATTTTTCGTATCTGTGGGATGTGCAGCTTTATACAAGGTGAGATCTGTAGTCATTCAATTGTAAACTGGACTCATTAGAGTGTTTTAAGAATTCATAATATTTTTTTGTTGAGATTTAGTTGAGCTGTTCATCAGAAAGCTTTAGTAATGTATTTTTGTAAGCATGTTTCCAGAACATAAATAAATGTTTCTAATCTTCATTTGAAGAAATGATATGAATAACCTGCTGCCTTAAGCTATGTGATCAAAATCACGCAATTCGTGACAACTGAACCTTGAGTGTCCTAGTCTACTCTTGATTGTTTGCATGATTGATGCACATTAACTCTAGATAGTCTGTGTCTCTCTCTGTCACAGTATCTGAGACTCTAGACCTGTCAAAGTCTTATTTTATCTCTAGATTGATTTCAGAAAACTTGCTCATAAGCAATTTGAAAGCCCATCCTTCACACTGAAGATATTGGCGTGGAGAAGGCTAGTGTGGTCCTTTTATTTTTTTTTTTTTTTTGAAGTATCATGGGCATTATGCTGCTAGAAAACCCCACTTACAGATTGGAGTTTGGTTTTCATGGTCCTTAAGAGACTTCTGACAAAGATAAGAGCGGTGGTGGTTCTTGAGTGCCTTCACTAGGTAATTCTCGGATCTCATACACAAAGCAAGCAAGACAATTTGAATTCCTGTGGAAGAAGTGGATCTTGGTTTGCCCATTGAATTCATTCGTATACTGTTTGCAGCATTTGAGTACTCAGGAAGCTATTGATAAAAGTGACTAGAAATTAAGTTAATTTCAGGTTGTTCATCACAAAATCATCACAGTCCACTTAAATTTCAACAAATGTCTATCAGAAGCAATAAGTGTGCACAGTTAAAGCTCAACATCTACTTAACACATCTGTTAAGAGGTAGGCAAGCTTGTTTCTGGTCAGACTTACAATATAATTGTTATTTGGCTTTATACCTTATTTGGCACCCCCGCATTAATGCACTAGTAAGGCAGCAGACCATATTTAGAAAAAGTAATGTGGATCTCAGTAGCAATTTACTTTGTTACATGTTAGATACTGTTGAACAAACCCACCTTGGACTTTTCTTCACGTTTTTGGGGCGCTTTGAGCATATCGCTGTGTTTCAGGTGAATGAGTATCCGTGGAGTCAGGATGGTGTCTTTTTATGTGGATGTGCTGTAAGAGTGGCTTGGTAGTCTTGTAAAATTTTGCCAGACTTCTGTAATTGACCTACAGTGTAGCTCAAGTGCAATACGTTGTTTTAGGATGCCATTTTATCTGGAGTTATAGTTCTGCAGCTGCCCACAGGCACAGAACTTGCCATAATGGCATGTTTTATGTATAAAAATATTAGCGGGGAGGACACTGGAGTGTTAATATAGGAAGAGTGTTTCTGGATCTGTGTAATGGCCTATCTTGTAACGGACTTTCTTTTTAAGCTTTCACTTCAGACATTTGTTTTCCTGACCAATGGTCAGGTAGCCTGAACTGTGGATTTGAACAGGAACAAAGTAGTATTTTACTAATTCAAGCTAAAGGCTTTTTAGACTGTTATCCACTGATACAAATCATAGCACTAATAGGAAAAAAAAAATAATATCTTTGCTTTGAAAGCTTTATTTAATTGTGTGTTACTTTCCAGTTTGGAATTGCTGAACCCAGAAAACGAGCTTATGCAGAGTTCTATAAAAACTATGATCCCATGAAGGACTTCCAAGCCATGAGAGCAGCTGGTGTGTTTGAGTCTGCACCACCCAAATGATGGTAACCTGCATTTACAGGTAATAAGCTACTCTGCAGTAGAACAAGAGTAAGCTAGATCGTTTCAGTGAAACATTGTTCTTCTATTTGGAGCTTCTTCCTTTTTGATCAAATAGAAAGGTGTTACTAAAGAAAGGATACAAATTGCACTTGAGAGACCTCTGAGTAATAAAAACATGAAGAAACACAGGGGAGCAGGGAGTAAGGGCAGAATAGAAAGCTCCTGAATACCTTGTGGGTAACGTGTTTAACTGGTGTGATGTGGGAGACTTGCACAGAGCGATGCCAGGCCTTTCCCTCCTCACGCAGCCATGGAAAGGAGACAAGGCTTTTGTATTAAGCTATAAGATTTGCTTCAAATCACTGTTATGTTGATGCTGTCATGTCTTGAACTGCTTAGCTTCGGGCTACCTCTGTCTGAATGTACCTGTGGCGGTACAGTGAATGAGAAAAGGGAGAGGCTGTTTCTCTCTCACAGCATCCATCTTAGTGTAAGAAACAGAGATGGCTTCTGCACATCCTTTTGTCTTTTGAAGTTGGTGAGAGGGGGAAGCTAACTAGTCATGAGGGGAAATATATTTAAATAAATACACGGTTATATAAAAAAATCACAATGGCATACAGCTCTGTGTACTAATATTCAGATTTTTGCCATAATGAATTAAACTTGAATACAATTTTGTTCATGATACTATTTTCCTCGCACTTAACGCTGCCTTTTGTTTGAAGACTACCAAATTTTGTTCTCCCTTACTTGTTGTCATAACACCAGGGGAAAAAATGTCTTGATTTCAACCTTGTCATAGTTATTAATAAGCACACTCACTAAACTGCACAAACTCATGATGTGACAGCTCAATAAAGAATTCCTCCGCCTGTGTTGATCCAAATTTCTTACATTGAGTTCTCTGCTTCTCTTAAAATGACTTCAAACTAATCTAGAATGATAGCTTTTTCATTCTTTTGGAATGTTTTCATATTGTGATCATTACGTGATAATCTGTGGCTTTAATTATCCTGGCCAGCTGGATTTTCTCAGCCTGTTTGCTTAAAGCAGCAAGACTGAATAAAAGATTTGTACTTAACACTATTAATGCTAAATTCTGTTGTGTCAGAATCTACAACTATCTGGTTTCTGCTTAACACAATTACATAAAAAAGCAGAGCTCCAGCTCTTTTAGCAAATTCAAAAAGAAAAAAGAAAGGTGGCATTCCCTTTGGTGTTTTTTTTTTGTGAGAGGGGGAAACTTCTTTTTTTTAGCTATGACTGCAACAAAGATAAATAATGAAATGATAAATTTGGCTGGTTTTAATCCTGGCAATTCTGCCCCTGATTCAGTCCTATTGCTAATATATAGCCACTTTTAAACTTTCTTAGAAACTAGAATTACATTCTTTAGTCAGGTGGCCTTCATCAGAGTATTCTGAAAGGCCATCTGGTGGTAAAATCATTTGAAACAAACACTGTCAACAAGGATGCATGTTGAATATTTAATTGGAATCATGAGCAGGATTTTTTTTCAGTGCAAATAGAGCTCCCCTCTCAGCTAGCTTATGTTCCCATTTGCAGCTTAAAAAAAAAAAAAATTGCACATTGTGTGCACCTGTTAAAATTAAATGTTTCCTAAACATGTCTTCCATTCCTTAATTACACCAGCTCAAAAGAAAAATGTGAAAGGCAAATCTTTATATGTGATTTTGTTTGAATTGCTGATGCTTCTTATTCCTTAGCCTATTTATATAAGAACTTACATTTTTCACTCTTTCATAGTAGAAAGAGGTTGGGTTTTTGTTGTGTGCCTGCACATGAATACAAAAGCAGAAGAAAGGGAAAACAACGCAGTGTTTCAAATGTTTTGAAACGACTGTGAAAAGAACAAATAAGCAGAACAGCTGGAAGATGTTTTCATTGCCTCAGTAGCTTAAATCTTAGCTATGGAAGTTGGATGGAGGTTGAATTTGATGCTGGTTTTGGTACAGTTACCTAAAGGGTACAGAGGTCATGGATGATCTACATTTCCCGTTTTATTGGAATATATTCTGTATGTGGCAGTAAATACAGTAGTTTAACTTAATTGAATACTCACTCTGGAATCAGTACTTAGCCCCAAAATTGAGGAAAGGGTTGGGTAGGTTGGGAGGAGAATCCATGAGTTAAGGCATTAGCTTGGAACTCTGCTTCGAGTTTGTTCCTGCGGGGCACGTAGGCAACTTCGTACCAAAGTGTGAGTGGACTTTGTGTGGTGATACTGATAATGGAAACCAAGCGCAAGTATAAGTTTGAGGAGTATCCTACTTCTACAGTGTGCTCAGTAATAGAATAAAGGAGGAAGCAAAGACTTCACTGCTAACCACTTGCATGACTCTTGTCATGGAGCACAGCTGTTCTTGGATTGTGTTCAATATAATGTGGAGAAGCAATTTGAATTTGGTTTTCTTCCTTCCTTGGTAGGTTGCCTACACCACTTGTTTCCTCTCTGGCTCCTATCTGAAAGCTGCATTCCTTTCTCTTTCAGGCCCTTAGCAAGATTGATTCAGTTATCAGTGCAACATGTATAGTGAATCTGACGTGCTGTGCAGTATTGTTCCAGCTCTTGATTTGTTCCATGTTTCACTTCTGTTTGCCACATGAAGGGTGTGTGAATCTTAAACCATCAGGAAATAACAGGGGGAATTCCTCTAGACTAAACCACCGCGTAACATTTCTCTCTATTGCTTTGCATTCATACATACTAATATGTTTACTCAAAGCATAAAGTTGGTCCAGCATAACTTAATATTTTTTTTTATCTTGCAGATCCACTTCAGTCTAAGGAGACTTGATGACCGAACCTTATTTGTTCACTGAACTGTAAAGTGTAGTGCACTTCAGTGCATGGCACGCTCTAATGTAACTCAATAAATAAAATACATATGTCAGTGGCGCTTAGTTGTCTTCATTAATGTCGAAATGCTTAAATGCTCAAATGCTGGGAAGAGTGGTGGAAAGTCTTTATAAATGGCTCAAGATGACTAAGTCTAGTTTTCTTCCCCCCAGGAATTATTTGCATCTCTGTTTTGGCCAAATTCCACATTTGATAACAAAGTATATCCCTAAGCAGTTACAGCTAGGTTGTCCCAGCTGCTGATGGGAATATGCAGGAGGATAGTTGTTATGGGCTGGATTTCTGGAAGGATCTGCGTTACCTCTGGCTTCACAAAGTGAACTGACCTTGAGATGAAAGAATTTGCAGAGGAATTGTGGAAATATGCTAGCCAACCTCCTTATCTTTTCTGCTGCCATCGCTGTATTGCCTTCCTTACAGCAGCAAACTCTTGTGTCAAGACTTATAAACTGTGCAAATGCCCACTCTTGTTATACGAGGTACATTACTCTGGTGATTGGAGAATGACTCAACTGTAGGTATGGTCACATCTGTTTTATGTACAAGGCAAAGAGGGTTAATGCAGACAAAGTAAGAAATACTTACTTTGGGATTTTACAGTAATGAAAAGCTTTGCGTGCTGCTTCTAAACACGTATCGTCTCCTTTTTAATATCTGGAAGTCAGCTAAGCATAGTTTTGATCTCTGCTACATTCTGCGTAGTCCAAGACCTGATGCTTTGTCTTGGCACCCGGGTCCATGGCACCCGTCATTTGGAACATGCTTTGTGCGTTGCCTGTTGCTGAGGTTGAAGGTGGTACCAGGACTGTAGCTGTTGATTGGGTACAAGGAGAGGAGTCCGAGCTGATTGTGTGAAAGGCGGGAAGGCTTTGTATGAGGCAGCATGACAAATTAAGCCATCTGTGTTGTATTTGAAGGTCTTCAGTTCAAATCCTGTTTGGAGTAATTCTCATTATTTTAAATGGATCATTAACTACTTAACACTTAATAGGTACCTGTGAGCAACATTTGGACTAATGAAAGCAAGTAAGTAATGTATTTGATCCAGAACACTATTACAGAGCAACGTGGGATTTCCTTTAACCTTTCCATACAGGCAGTGCTTCCTTTAAGCAAAGAAAGAATTTGACATTAGTGGTGCAGGGGAAACCATCTAGTAATCAAAATACCCCTGTTCCTATAAATGTAAACCAAACCTTAACAATAGCAAATGATACCCATTTATCTTCCCAATGTACAGCATAAACATTGTATGCCATTAAGTACTGACTAACATTTTCTCAGGCATGTCTGCAGGTTTAAATAGCCAGGGGTCTTTAGTCATACTGACAGCTTCAGAGGCAAAGAAACTTGCTACTGCCAGGTGTGCGGGCTAATAGACCTGACTTCCCTTCCAGCGTTAGCCCCTAAATTCTTCCCAGTTGCTAGAAATTAATTTACTTTTAAATTCTAAGTTTCTTCTAAACTGTTACAGCCAACAGCAGTTACTGTTGTAGTCTATGTTCCTTCAATTACCAGCACACGTTGATTTAAAGAAATGAGAGGTTTTGTGACTGAACGTAGTTTTTTTTGATCATACAGCAGAGCTCAAAGATGTCTCTTGCTAAGTGTATTCAACAGCAATGACGGAAGTTGAGCTCTTAATGTCTGTGCTTTGAGAGGCTGCAGGTTATGATTGTTGCTTGTTTTATAGTGATATTCTGGTTTCACACTGGATGCAAAGCAAGTACCTCCTTTCAGCAGGTAATGCCAACTCACACAGCTCGCTTTCCTCTGGAAAGGGAAGGGAGGGCAAAGCTGGTACCCGAAATAGGAGTAGGCAGAAGGGCAAACCTCCTTTTCTGAAATCAGCACCAACCTATCAGTTTTTTTTTCTCTTCCCTTTGCCAGCCAGCGTTCAGCTTATCCTGTCTGACACACAACGGGGAGTGAGACAGCATAGTACAAGACAGACCTGTGTGAGGTAGACCGTAACCGGCTGGTTGTTACAGGGCCTGGCATGCTGTTTCTAGGAGATGCACATGCTTGTCTGCACTGAGGCCATCCCAACTGTCTGTAAGGGTTTTTGCTATATTTATGTATGAAATAATATATAAGGCGGCATTGTTTGACCTAACTGTTTTGGGGAAGGTCTTGCCGTGTATAAGCCTGACCATGCCTTGAAATTTTTGGCCGGCTTACTTTATTCTCGAGTGTTTGAGGAATGATTGATTGTTCTGGAAGCAAACTAAAAAGATAGATTTGAAGTTGTGAGCTCTCCAGGTCTAAAGAGCATTATGAGAGTAGGCATGTTTTAAGAGTACACATTGGAGTGCTTTAGCAGCTAAGTACAGGCAGCTGCTCTTTGGACAACTTTGTTTTCATAGCTCATGCAGCTCATATGTAGGAGAGGCTGATTTATAGGCCGTCTCCACACGTTTCCATACATGTGGTCAGAAGGGGGAGAAAGAACCTGCCTAATGCAGTAAAGATGCTAACTAAATTTGCTGAAGAAGAGTGAAATTTAAGCAAGTGTTTATTCCAGGAGAATATAATTCAGGAAAAACACAAATGTATCTTAAACAATGGCTGCAATCTATGAACTTTTAGAAATTAAAGTGCTGCCTTCCCTTATCTTTTACAGGTGTGTTTGCATCCTCTTGGGTGGTTTATGTACTACATAAATAATGAACAGATTACTCTAATTCAAATGGTGACTACAGTGCTGTTTTGATTCAGTTAGTCACAAAAGCATAAAACTTTTCAGCACACGCTTTTTGGCAAGCTAATCATCAGTTTTTACTTCCAAAGTATTGTCATTATCTATTGCATTTTCTGGTACGTGACAGAGTCCAGCGACCAACTGGAATCTAATGGGGTCTACGCGAAGCTCCTACGTGTGTCTTGTTCTACACAGTGAGTTACAAGGGAACAAACAGGTCAAAGACCAAATAGCTCACAAAACCAAGTATTACAGGAATAGCTTTATTATCTTTAAACAATCTCATTATATTACAATTTATCTACCAATATGCAAAATTAGAAGTATTAAACTATTTCCATAAAATATTCAGGAATGAAGCATGTGCGTGTATATATACATATACATTATTTAAATAGTGTTATTTAAACAACAACTAAGTTATAAAATCACTGTATGAAATGTTGATAATGGATGGGCTTATTTCACATTCAGGAAAGGACAACGCAGATCTCAGGCTTCTGTATTTTAAGTACACAAGAGAGACGGCTTTTAGAAATACCTTTTAACAAAACAGAACTCACAAGAAAAACATTGCAGTTACTACATTCTTATTTACTGTGCATTTGGTCATATCAAGTATGCATAGAAGTTATTAACTGTAAAGCACATGGATCTGCTCCAAATGATGATCAGATTTTATTCCAGTTCTTGTCTCCGATTGAGGCCATGTTCAGGAATCCCCAGACAAAATTCACGTCCGTAAGTACATTGAAAAGGGGAGAAAAGTAACACACACAGTTGAAAATCAAGTAAGCTTTTGTTTTTTAAAATAAAGCTGCCATAGCCAGATTTGGTGTATAAAGTAACATAACTGTGCCCAAAGACAATGATTTCTTGTCTACTACAAACTGTAAAACATCTGAAAAATAAAGACACTTGGAAAGCTCCTTTGTCTCGATGTGTTTAACATCATATTCCTAAGTGTATCGTGGTGGCATCAGTAACTGTAAGTAACTGGAGCCTGTGGGTCCACACTTTTCAATCAGCTTGAAAAAAATTTTCTCACTTTGTTTAGCACAAATGTATTTGAAAAGTCATGTTTCTAAATATCCCTGGTTTTAGCTGTTCAAAGATGATGAGCATAAAATGAATTAGGGCTGAAGTGAGTACGTACTGGGTAGTGGTGGCAGATCAGAAGTAAGCGAGACCCAACAAGGTTATACTTAGCACCTGCACATCTACGTTATATTGAGCTTACACATTTTTGGTAGATTTTAAGGACACTAAGTTCTGTTTCTTAAATTTTTGAACTGCGTGTTACTGGCTTCCAGCTAACAGCCAGACAGTGCACAATGTCATATATACACTTTAAGTCCTTCTGAAAATTTGATGGTGGATAAAATAAAGTTTCTGTATACAGACAGTTTGAAAAATAAATTCATGTTGTAGTTCATGTTTTGTTCTCCAAACCACACAAAGGCACTAGTTTACATTAAGGACTAATGTCCTGCAAAACTTCAGTCAAATAAAGGAAGCTATTTTAAGGTTAAAGTGGTGCTAAAACCCAGCTGTCACTAGTAACTTAAACCAGCCACACTGGGGTTTTCAGATTTAGTGGGGGAAAATGTTTTGCCTCAGGACGTACACGCTGGGGGGAGTGCGTGTGTGTGTGGGGAGGCTCAGCCTTGGGCAAGTTTTTACAGCTGAGTTATAAACCTGGTTTATAACAGAAACTGGCAGACCCTAAAATATGATAGAGAGGTATTGATACACATTTTGTGTGTGTGGCAAAAATGCCTGTATGCACGCAATTTTTCCTTATTCGCTGATTTTTGGTTATTGAAAAGAAAACAGATTTTCATTGAGCTATAGTCCAAGGCAGTTCCTTTTCATTTTATTCGTTTGCTAGAACAGTGTCCTTCCAGCACAATTAGAAAAGGTATTGGGCTTAACTTTGTTATCATCTCCTGCCTCCTCCAAAATTATATGCATCTCTACTTGATGTAGGTTACTGCAGAGGAAGCATTACTTTCAAAACAGTAAGGTATTACTATACTCACCACAAATAATTATTAATTAAACCCTTTCCTCAAGGCTTTATTTTTCACCATGGTGAATTTGCTAATGAATACTCGGGCAAAATTTGGATCAACTACATATTGATATGTTTTCGTTATAGTTGGGAGGTGTTCGGTAGCTACAGTTTGCAATGCCGGCACCGTCGCGGCGCTGGGAGCCAGGTGGTAAGATGTCTTTGTGATGTACTCCACGAGGCGGTTGTATTGTTGTTCTGATAGTCTCTCTCTAGCTCCATCTGCCTGAAAGCAGAGAAGATAAAATGATTACTGAGTGATTGACAGTAACTGAACTTCGTAGTAAGGACAATAACTTCCACATTACTGTCTGTAATTAAACATCTTCCTCCCTGGGACCTTTTCTACAATAGTTTAATGGATGTTTTAATCAATCAACAGTGTTTTCCCATAGTTTAGTGCTTGGTGGATTTGGAGCCTTCCGAGAAGCTCTAACTCTGCCATAGGAAATTCAAGCAGTATCTTTTGAGAATTTCAGGGATGCACTCTATACACCTTGCTCAAGGCGAGATCTTTACAATAGATCAACTCAGACAGAAAAAACATCTGAACCCCTTTTAGAAAAATGCCAGTATCCTTATCAGATAGCAATCCTAATTAGCAAAACCTTTTTCTCACAAAGTACAATCAATGACAGCTGACAGCTATATCTGGGCAGTTAAGTTTAACCCTTTAACTTACTTGATTTAAAATAAAGACTAGAAGCTACCTTCCAGGTGAATGTTCTATGTTGGGACGTATCTGTCAGCTTCTGGTCACCAAAAAAGCCATTCTGGGTCAGAGGACCCACACAAATATGTTTTTTTAAACAAAAGAGTTTTACTAAAGAGGGTTTGGGCCATGTCCTTTCTGGAGAAGAAATTAAGGTGTCTGTGCAAACTGCCTTTTCTACCACCATGAGTAGGAAGGATGACTCTGAAGAAATCCCTTTTTGTAGGCTAAAATCTGTATGTTCAAGGCTCTAGCAAGAGGGATGCAAGTAACCTACCTCTAGTGGAAAAAATGCAGAAAAATAAATACTGTCAACAGAAAGGTGGCATCTACCATATGGTTCCAACCAGATAAAGTATTAGATGACAAGCCATGGGCAACCCTGGCTTTGGAAGAACAATCTGCTGTGCCCTTTTTTTGAAGAAGAAGAAATTGAAGATGACTATGACTAGCTTGAGAAGGGAAATCATGCAAGCAGGCATCAAGCTAGTCGCATGATTTCAAAAAACTGTATTTCAGAAATACCACCATGGATGCTACAGCGGTATCACTAGCAAAGTCATTCAGAACAGAAGTTATTTCCCAAATATGACAATGAACAAAAAGGCAGAAGCTATCCCAGGGCTAGGCTTTGATGCTTTCTTATTTACACTTGGAGAACTCCTGACCATTTTCTTTTTTGTAGGGTTTAAAATGTCTTTGTTGGATGTCACACTAAGGATTCAAAGACTGCTATCTTCTGTCTTCCAGGGAGTTTTACACATGCCGCACTCGATGCGATGATATTTTCAAACTGTGCCATTGGATTCAATTTAACATCCAGGATCAATATCTCGTCACATCTCTGGACTGCAAGGCTCATTTTAAACAAACCATTGCTTATTTGAAGAAAGAATTATTATGACTGATAGATAGTGACAGATGTCACATCCAAACCAAAACAGTCCCCTCTGTTTTTTTTTACTATGCCTTTGGAGATGGATTTGCTGCTCAGCAACTAGAAACCCTCCTGTTTTCAATCATCACCACAAAAATGCTAAAGGAAGCAGAGGCTCATGAACAAGCTCAGAAGCTCAAGGTTGGAGCCTATGCCTAGAAACAGCAGAAATGATGAAAGGGGCAGAGGAGAGTGTGTTTTTCATGAATGACCTTGAAGGGAGGGAAAAATCAGAAGGCAGACTGCTGCAGCAGACATATGGCTAACGGTGGAGAATGGTGTCTGAACCCGGTCTTCAGTCTGGTAGTGCAGAAAAAGTCAGCCGTCAGTCCATTTTACCAGTTGAAAGAGAAATACATTATGCGGTAAATCTTGCAAGTCAGTGGCTCCAGATTTTTTCTTGATTTCTACTTCTAGGGCGGTAAAGCCCAGGGGAAGCTGCGTTACAGTTCTGCCTCCACACTGACCAAAAGACACAAGTTATCAAAGAAGATGGAAATGGTGTTGGCGTCCCACTCACCTACTCTTGTGAATCCGTTCTTCATTCAGCCTCAGGTGACATCCCACAGACACAGCACAATTATCCAGGAGGAAATATTAACTGCACTTGGATGGTCTTCCAAAGTAACTGGGACCCTACTTGCTTCCAGATGACTTAATCTGCAACTGTCTGCTTCTCCAACCAGTTTCAGTTTAGCTTATATTGTCAGGACGGCAACAGAAACTTGGAATTGCCGTTATTCTACATTTTTTCCTAAATGAGACCTAACATTGTCACTAATGTGCCTTAGCCCACTACTTTGAACAGCTGTAATGTTAATAGCCAGGTCATTCAACAAATCCAAACTGAAGTCAAGGATTGCTTAGCGCACCTGCTAGAGGAATCCATCATGTCCTTTCATGCTAGAAGACCACACTTTTGGGCTAAGAACTCCAGAATTTTTCTAAAATTCCTCCCATTATGTCTTATAAAGAATAAGCCTTCAGCATTCTAACTAACTGCACAGTAGCTATAGCACCTTTGTTGCACAGACTGGATGTGTTCGTAGCACTGATGGTCTGCTTTGTGCACACGGACTGAGGAAGGAGGGCTGGTTCCTTACGGGTTTTTTTCACCGCTTTGAAAAATCCAGAGACTGGTTTTCAGCTCCAGAGATGTAGCGTGTGTAACGCTATCATAAAAACCCTGTGGCAGATCAATTTTTTGCTGTCTTCTTGATGTTAGGAGCTATACCAAGAGCAGCTGGAAGCACAGAACTTTTGGGTTTGATGTCTGTCTGGAAGCAAGCAGTGTCGCAATTACTTTGGAAGATAATCCAGGTACAATTAATGCTTCCCTTTCAATAACAATGTTGTCAGTGCCAGAGTTTTCAAGGATCCATCCAGGCTATTCCTAGCCAGATGGATTAAGTTATATATTGTGGAAGCGAACAAACCATCAGGCAAACCTATTGCTGAAGGAGTCAAAATACACTCTATAACATCTCTGGTGATTACAGCTGTAGAATAACTCATGTTTTGTTTCCTAATAGTTCCAAGAAGCTGAGGAGAGGGAAGGGGAGAAACTGTTTTGGGCAGAGCTGAAACAAAACTTTTGGCAATTATTTTTGTGAGCAATAAGACAAAAAAGTGGATTTTTATAATGTTGAAATGAAATGTTTCAATTTGTTGTATTACTTCTCAGATCTTTGACTAAATTAATCAGAAAACCAGACATAATTTACATTTGGTAACATCACCTCTATTTTGCTAAACTCCTCATAATATTTTGGTTGACCTGACCGGGCATTTTCCAGCTAAAAATTCTGGCCATGTTTACTAATGTCATCATGTACAGATGTGTCTGCACTTCAGCTGAGGACATCTTCAGTGCAACAAGGTGGCCTGACATTAATATTTAGGAGTCGTGTCTATTTGGGTGTAGGTCTGCAGCTCTGAGGCTGCTCACCTGGGAGTCACAGCTCGCTGCTCCTGAGGTTCCTTTTTCTAATCACATTCAAACAGTTTGTGTAGAAGCTCTTGTGGGAGAGCTGAAGGAGAGGCCCTGGCTCCCACCACCACCAGCGCTGCACGCAGCACCCCAAGTACGACAGAACTGACATGCTCAGCTGCAGGAAGGAAATTACCAAGTATGAAACTTCCCAATCTGCTAAGGCAAAAAACTATAATAAACGTTATTTACAACAGAATAATACAGAACTCTAGGTAATTACTAAAGCTTCATGAAGCTTTTGGAATCTTTTACTGTGTAGCTGCCTTACCATAAAAAAATTAAACTTTCTTGTTTCATCTGCCTTACTTTCAACTGCTCCTCCTTATAGCCTATTTCTTTAGATTTTCACACAAGTTTCAGCATCAGCTTCTGCATTCTGAAGGAACACTTATGCCAGGTCTGTTTTGTACAGCATCACTCAGCTTTTGCTGTCTTGCCATCACTGACTTTGCTCTACCTGGGGCACAGGCACTCTTCACTGCTCTTCTCATGCCATACATATTCACGGCATTCTCAAAAGCCCGCGTCAGCAAAAGAGATTGCGTACTGCGGCTGGGTGGCTCAAGGCTTACAGCTCCTGGCATTGCTGCGCCACTGGAGTAGAAGTCCCATATTTCTATCCAGAACTTCAGAAAAACACCATGTGTTTGGTTCAGTACTTCCCAAGCAGGTCACGTTTACTGTGTGTGTACTAGCATGTGTATGTGGGAATGTTGGGCTCTGCACATGCCATATAGGGTTATGCTGTGCGTGTACAGGAGCCACTTGCCCATGAGTACTACATATTCCCAGCTGCAGCAGCTGTGGGGACTAGAATGAGGTTCCCTGTCCCTCGCCTTCCCTTCTCCCAGACAGGCAGTCCCTCTGCCTCATCACCATCATGCAGCAACCTTTGGGCGAGCAACCCTTCCCCCAGAGCAGCAGCCTGCTCCTCACCTCTTGGATAACCAGATACAAAGACAAGAGCCATCACACTATAGTCTATTAAAAAAACAAACTAGGCTGGTGCTAAAGTTAGGGTTGGGATGGGTTGAGTGTATCAAATGCCTTAGGGAGAACAAATTATTTTCCTCTTCCCTCCAGGACAGTAGCTCTGGACTGAGCAGGATAGTCTGGATTGAGTCTGATGTGTGCCTCCAGCAACCACACAGCATTCAGGGATAAAAAAGCTGAGCTTTGCCCGCTTGCATAAAAATTTAAGTAATGCCTCATGTAGCTTTGTGGTGAGAGAAGGCAACTTCAGTCAACAGCACTCTGTGAGACTGAGGTTAGTGGAAAGACAATAAATGTAAATAGAGAATTGAGCACTAAAAAAAGCTTTCACAAAAAAATCCAAGTGCTGTCATGACACAGATGAAGTCCTTGCTGTGCTGGAATCGATGGCAAAACTATTCAGTGACTTCAGCAAAGTTAGGATTTTACTGAAGGTGCAGAAGCCTCCCCTACCTTTTGGCACAGCTTATGCTCCATAGGGTTTTATGTATGTTCTTTTCTTGTATTTGAAACACAGAAATTTCTGGTATAGCAGTCTCTGAACTACCTGACACTTATAAAAACAACAACTGGGACATGCGTATTTGGTTTTGAAATGATCGCTCATATGATTCCACTTCAGAATTTAATACAATAAACATTGTTTCCCAAAAGTGTAAAAATATAACATTCTTCTACCATTAAAAGAAGATAATTCATCCAAAACCTCAGTATTCAAATGGCTTAGAGATCTTTCAATATGAAGATGAAGGATTTATGCTCTTACTGGCAAACACTCGGTGCATCCAATCTCAGCAAAGGAATTGATCCTTTTAAAGTTAGCATTTGCAGAAGAAGGAAGATCTAAGGAAGTGAATACAGCGAACAGCCAAGGAAGACCACTGCATTGGAAGCGGCAAGGTAAGAAACATGCTGAAAGGAGCATGCAGCAGCATCACTGAACTGTTAAAACAGAATTCACGGAAGAATAAAAGGAACTGTTCTCACTGTGACTTTGCAGGTACAGGCAGCAACGCTGACTTGCCAAACAATAAACACCTCACACACATGTGGTCACAAGAACCTCTTCAGAAAAGAGGCGGTGCTTACCAAGAACCCGGACTTCCTCTACTTTTTCCCCTCAGAAAATTGCTGTCACAGATATGAAAAGTCATGATGAATCAGAGGACAGCAGGGAGGATACACATCCCTTTCATCCAAAGGGCAACACAGTAAGTTATGAGGTGCGTGAAAACAGCAGGTCCCCTGGTTTGGTGCTGTGGCCTCCCGACCCAAAGGTGAGTATGCCCATTGCCAAAAGCATCAATCACCATTGTAACTTTATCCTCGAATGAAAATCATACTCAAGTCTTTACCTCCAAATCAGAAGGAACTCTCTGTTGTTTCAGCTGCACCTTCAGCAGGTCTTTTTGCTGATCATCTTCCAGACAATCGATTTCAGTCACGGGGAATGCCTGCTGCTGCGTATCTTCACTGATACTGACCACGAAGAGCACCTCCGAGGTGAGCAGTAAGCAGCCTTCATGCTGCTGGCCTGATCCACTCACAATCATGACATCTAAGGCCATATGGACCTCCGGCCTTCCTAGAGACTGCAGCATTTTCCTACATTATCAAGGAATTAAAAAAAAAAAAAAAAAAAGTAGCTGCCAGTGTTATGCATTGGATCCCCCAGGACTTCTTTTGATCACTAATGTTTTTAGTTAAGCCTGTGGCTATCACCTACAAATATAAAATAAGCCAGGGAGCATATTCCAGATCTCCATCACTGAAAGATGTAAGACTTAAGATTTAGAGAATAAATGTGAAACTGTTACTTATCAAAACTCCTTAATCATTCACTGCAAAATTGGCCTAATAACTGTGCTAGGTCAGCCTATTTCCCATCCTAATAGAAAAATTACCCTGAGAAGTGGCTTACAAATTCAGTGCAGAAAATAAAGTTATCTTCACTAACAGCTGTTTCTGGAGATGTGCAGTATTTTTCTTGGGCTCAGTGCAATGATAAATAAGTAAGAACTCACTGAATGCCATTAAATAAAGATCAGCTCTGTAGTTCCAAAGCTGGAAGCAGATCAGCAGCCCATCATTTGCAGATTGGGTTTCTATGCACTACCTTTGTGTTTAATGTTCCTAAACAAACTGCCATAACTCAGCCCTTCCTAGGGAAGCAGCCTGTTAACTTGACCACAGGCCAGAACCTATTAATAAACAATGTGGATGTAAAAATGAGCAAGTGTCTAAATAATTTTACCAGACGTATTTGACGTGGCTATTTGGAGCCTGCTCAACATGTTGATCATTTGGATGAGAGCGCTGCTTGGGAAGCTGAGAAAGTCCAGCTCCATGCAAAATACCTGTGGTAAGAGAATTTAAGTTTTTTAGTAGTTGTTTTCTACAAAACAGTTACATGTTGTAGTGATGTCATCTGTTTAGAGCAGTTCATAAAATAGTGCAGATCTGAAATGATGTCACAACTTTGGAAGCTATAGTCAAGATAATTCATTAAATATTACAATGCAAGATTTGCGCACTTAACCCCGGTGATCTTGCATTAGCAAGAAACAAAAAAACCCCACTGTGTGTTCTAAAAATCAGCCATACACTTGCAATCAAGAGAAACATAATGCTCCTGAGAGCCATCATTTCAGAGTAGGACCGGACACATCACTTAGGATTTATGTAGCAAAAAATCAAGACTGTTGTTAACTTTCTTGCTTAATATTAAAATACTTCCATATACGTGTCACGATCGGTACCAATTAGAAGGCAAGTTTGCCTAGATACTGTATTTAAATGTTCAGTTCTTAATCCAGCTGTTAAACACAGATCCGTATACATTTATGAGATCTCCCAGGGCATCTGGTTTATTGTGAATTCTTCTTAGTGCCAGCACAGAATGGAGACTACAAGAAGCAGTTAAACAGGTTTCTAAATAGACTATCCAAAGCTGAAGATGATACAGTATGTATGCTTTCAGATGGCTTGCTAACTTTTAAAGATGAGGTATGGTCACCAGGAAGAATGAGTGGGTTGCAAAAAAATTCACAAATGAAGTAGTTTTAAAATTTTTTACAGGGCAGACAGGAAGTAGGTTAAGCAGCAAGCACCAGTGTTATACGGTTTACTGCAAAGCTACTCTTTAAATAAACAAAGACATTTTCTTTTGTCTAATTAAGCATTCCATTGAAGCAAAAGGCATTTTTGCATAAGGGTGTCAATAACTTAGATTCCTTTTTACACAATGGATAATAATTTAAACAAAACATCAGTGCTGAAAAAAAAACCCTTTAATTTTTAGCACACATGTTGATGGTAACACTTAAAAGCAGCATCCCAGTTGTAACAGTTGGCTTACCAAGGTTCTCAGCATTATGTGAGTGAAAATGTTATTTACAGATGGAGAAAGAGAGAACATGTGTTTATTTCTGTGTGGTCCCCCACCCCTCGGTCCCCCCCAAGAGGCACGGTCCCACTTCCAATCCAGTTGTGGGTAAGAGTTACTTGAACTCTTGTGTGTTTTCCTCTCACGCACTGTCAGCTATTATTGATACAGTTTTTATGTTTTTTCCTGGCTAACCCTTTTTGTCACATGCTCATGGAAAACATGATGTCTTGTATACCATATCTGCAATGAAAAGTGTCCCTCTACTGTTACAAGATTCTTGATAAAGACTGCAGTGAAATTAAATCTAGAAAGAATAATGCCACGGGCAGCAAAAACAACACACAGCCAGCCGACAACAGACAAAAGTTTCTGATTTTACTGATATGGTTTTTACACCTACGGGATGCGTAATTCGGGAGAACAGTTATTATTTACACTCATACAAACAAGATAAAGTTAAAGTAAAGATACTAACAAGATAAAGTTAATTTGAAAGAATTGTAATAATTAAATATTTTATTATTTCTTTAAGTAGACTGCTTCAAGGAATGAGTTCTGAATGTAATGGGAAGCATGGAAACAATATCCTAAACTTAAGTCCTAGGAGAACTACTTGTATTCTAATCAACAAATCACAAACATAAATGTTGCTAGCGATTAAGGCTTAGATCTTCAAGGTTTGTCCAGTGTAATTAGTGAAGCAAAATTATTGACACATTTGTTCTTGTAGCAACAGGTCTCCCTGCTCTTCTTCCCTGACTGCACCCTCACCCCCCTTTTAAATATCCAGATCACCAGCTTTGATTTATTGAGACCGGAAACAAATAAATTAGGGTATATTTTATTTTAATGTTTTACAGTTTCTGGTCATCCAGAACTATTCACATCAATCTGAAAGGATTCACCATCACTGCCACTAAATGCTCAGTCTAGCTGAAAAACCCACCTCTGCTCATTAAAAGGTCACCCGTGTATCCAAAACTGGGACTGTCTTCTCAGAACTCTTCAGTTCAAAGGGGACGGTCCCACTACACGACTCACTTCTTTCTCCCAGGAACATAACTCTCTCTTTGTGTAGAGATAGCACAACTCTTTCCTTGCCGTAACAAAGCAATCTCAAAATAAAGCTCTAATTGGATATAGTGTTGCTCTACTACTTTTATGTCAAAAACTCTTTTGTAAGCACATATGTTTCTGTAACTAATTCTACTGTATTCCAAGAATTACTTCATGCTTTCTGCATTCTGTATTTCTGTGGCTGTACAACGCTGATCGGTAACACAAGAGAGAAGCACAACACGATGGTTTTTAAGAAAATGAGCACAACATTTATAGCTATTCAGCACTGGAATTTCTAAATCTTTCCCTAAGTCACACAGCTACTGAGCCTGATAAGTAAGACATAGCAGGCTGTATCAGAAGAGCGCTTTAAAATTTAAATGGGGATGTTGGAAATAGACAAACTCACCGTAACCTGTCTGGGAAACGAGCTCAGCTGCCCCTCCGATAGGCTTTGTGAAGACACCCATGATTCCTTTCCCCACACCCGAGATGACCCCTCTGGCTTTATGCCCGGCTGACGCTTGGGCCTCAGACACTCGCTGAAAATTCTGCATCGGCTGATCCACAATCCCAGCGATTGCACCTGAAAAAACAAGAGTCCCCAGTAATTAGTAAAGATTAATATCCCAGAATAAGAGGAAATCTTACAACTGGACCTGAATGTTGCTTAGATTACACCGTTAATTTCAGAGAGTTCAATTAGCTAGAAGAGGCTTAGCTAAAAAGTAAAATTACTGAACAGAAAATTGGTTCTGTTTTACCTCAAACCAGGACAAGACTGTACCCCACCCTTCTTATACAGCTACTTAGTGTGCGACCAATTAGCTAAACAATAACTTAGCTTCAGTTTAAGTTAAATCTCAACTTCCTTTTTTCAAATGTATTTTACTTTTTTAAACATGCAGATCACTTAACTTGACAGTATGCTTTCATCTTTTAGCTACTTTCACTAAATGCTTTTGCTGAGTTAGTTTAATTCAGCTCATTCTGTGTAGCAATTCTGAAAATGTTGGGCTCGGAATAAAATCCACCCGTTTTAGACGACTTGAGCTGTTATGGAAATGAGATTTTCACGTAAGCCTGAGATTGACTTCAGGAAAATAAAACCTGCCTGTATTCAATAGATCATTTTTATATCCTCTTCCACTGCCAGAAATGTTCATAAGCTAATGCAACTTTTGATATATTACTAAGATTAGCAGAATTAGACTTTGAGACTTTTTGTTACTTTTTTGTGAAAACTATCATATTTTACTTTAATGCGCATGGGTCAAACTTTTACAAGTGACACAGTGACCTTCCCAGCTTTTAGTATCAACAGAGAACTCCAGCTTAAATCTTCCTAAATGTAAACAGGTATGTGAGGTGGTACATTTCTTTGATCTTGAGTTTACTCTAGCCACTTAACCACAGACATGTCTCTAGTTATTGTAATTTTGATAGATAAGCTATTTGGAAATCGCTAAGAGTACAAGGATTGGACAACGTGACATCAGTTAGAAAACGGTCTGCCTGATCCGAGGTTCTCTGCTCAGTGAAAAGCAAGTTTGCAGGCTCTGCCGCTAGCTCTCAGTTTGCACCATCAGCTGTGACTATCAAGATAAAACAATTATTTAAGGAGTAGGACCGAGTGTCACTGTGGTAACCAGCCATTTTTACTGCAACCCAGACATCTTTGAAGATTCTGTTTTGTATGTGGAAGCAAATCCAGGCGTAATTCCACAGATTCGGACAATCACAGCCGAGGTATTTGGCCCTATGTCTTTACCAGCGTGACATGTGCTAGTCAGCTAGCTGCTAACCGTTTTTCAGATGGTTTTAGTTACCGGTACTGGATAAACAGAGAAGTCGCTGACTTTGAACAAGAAGAACTAATATTGTACTTGTACACTGGTATCTGTCCAAAGAAAAGACGAGGGTGAGAAGCAGCACACATTTCCCCAGATCCTTGTCCCTGGGACACTATCTATCAGCAATTCAAGAAACTTGCATCCTCCACAAACGCCTCCCTTTCCTCTTAGAGAGATTGCTTCCAACTTGTATATGTGTACCTTTTACTGATTAATGCGTAGGATTTGCCCAGAAAATGCTGGTCTCTTTTTAATGTGCTACCCAGTTTTTATCGATCTCAGTCCCTGAAGCTGAGCGTGCAGCTGAATGTTCACCCTTTGTATCACAAAGGCCATCAAGTGCCCTTAATGCCATGCCATGGAAATGACACAATTTTCAATTCAATTCTGTTTCATTAGTACTTACCAGCTGCTCCTGCTGCTTGACTAAAATAATACCCCAACACCGCATTACACAATTGGGATTGTTCGTCCAGTCTTTTCTTTTGTACAATTGTGATGCATTTGAAGGCATAAAACAATACTTGGTGTTCTGCTGAGTTACAGTATTATGTTACCCTGTGACCTCCTTCACCCTATCTATCGAGGTCATCCACAGCAACCGCACTTTCAGAACAGAAGTTATTGCCTTATTAAATGTAATCCACCTAAGTCCTAGCACTAGTAAATTATTTACTGCAATACACTTGAGCAATGTTATAAGGTAATAATAAATAAGAGCCTACTCCAAAGAACCTGTGGTATGCTCCAGGCACTTCTCAGCTGGAATTAGGCCCAGAGGACAAGGAAACAGAATGGAAACTGCTGTGACTGTGTTATATAAGATTATTTATGTAGTACCCCGAATAATATATAGCTTAATTAGCCAGTTGTTTAGTACTTCCACACCTTCTGTAATTCTGCCATTTTATGCATGCTCTGAACTTGTCTGTGAAGCCACTGCCCTTTTGTACCTCAAATCCTTTTGCAAGTCCTCTCTTTCGACCTGCAAAAAATATAACCAATGATCTTCTCTTCCCTCTCTGCTCACCCTTTGTAATCTCTTATCTTGAACTGGAACTCACTGACATCACTCAGTCATGTGCTGTGGTAATGCCCACAAATCACATAACAAACTCTAACTGTACTCCTTCCATTAAGGAGTGGCTGATCCTACCACCTTTGCATGGGGAGGCCAGATCTGTGCAGCTCCTTTCCTGTGTGCGTCATGTGTGGGCAAAGGCAAAAAAAATAGGTCAAAGGCTGAGCAAACTCAAAACCCAACAGCAATGAGATAATGGTGACACGTGGGAGATTCACTGCATCTCCTAGCATCAGAAACTGTGAAGCAGATGTCCCCTGGTGCCCATGGGATTTCTTTCTTTCTAACATAAAGTTAGTGTTGGAGCACCATGCTGGATGGACTTACTACAGAAGGTCTCTCCCCTCAGATTTCAGTAGGGTATCAGGGAAGCAGAGCATGGAACCACAGGTAGTGGTTCCTCCCTTCCCACTCTCATTCTCACAGTCTAGAGATGTAGTGGTTCCTCCCTTCCCACTCTCCCACTCTCATTCTCACAGTCTAGAGATAGCTACGGTGTCCTACTGCTGTCCCTGTCGCTTTCTCTTCTCTGTAAAGTCCCTGGCCCTCCCCCCCCCCCCCCCTTTTTTTTTAACCATTCTCCATTTTTCTTTCCTTCCTTACCCTAGGCATTCAATTTTATATGCATGTCCACATATGTACACACAGATTATGTATGTATAAAGAAAACCTCAATAAAATTAAACACCAAAGCAACAAAACAAAAACATATTCTTCCATTACTGGACCAAAGAGGTTCCAGCAACACCGTAACATCTGCTAAACATCAGCTGGGGTGCACTCTGGTTAATACATGTTGCTCAGTAACCATAAAAAAGATACTTTGATAACTACAAAATTCAGATAGTTCAGACTATATCACTGTATTACTTCAAGAAGAATTTGATTATGAGCAGCAACTGATTCGTGCACAGACTGACAATATTTGGTGAACATAGCGTGGCTTACAGAACTTAGCAAAGCTCGAGTTGCTTGTGAAAAACTCTTTCGGACCAAGAAATAATTGGAAAAAATCCCCCACCAGGAGAAACTGGCCATGCTTTGCCATAAGGCTGGAAGCCAGCCAAGCTGAAACCATTTTGCTTCCTTTTCTTTTCTCTGTTGTCCTTCAGGATTGCCGCAAGTGTTTCACACCGAAACTATGCTGAAGCACAGTCTCATCACAGAAAACATAAAAATACAGCTAAAAGAAGAGGGCACCTGTTGGTGTGCATTAATATATTTGCAGAATTAGTGTGTGGAATAGCACACACCTTCAGGATTAGCACCGGCCCTTGGTGTCTCACTTGTAGATAGGCAAACGTAGAGTGGCCCTGATTCAGCAACAGTTGCACAGCAAGAACAACAACCACCACCCTTCAGAACAAAAATTCAAGCTTCTGAAATCCGGGCTTTACCTTCTCTAGTAGCACAGCTACACCGTCAGTCAGTATTACTATCAATTCACTTTCCCCAAATGCAGGAAGGAGTAACTGAAACGTCGAGCACTTTTGTCATTGTGAAAAATGGCTTTTCTAATAGTTGTCAGCTTTTCAGTTATTCAAAAATGCTCAACTTCCTAAAGGGAAATACTTCAATACACTACTTTTCACTAGGACCAGTAGTTGAAAATAAGCCCTACAGTTTCAATATTCCCTCTTACACGGTTATAAATTGTTATTTTAAGCTTGAGTCCATCATGCAAAATGCAAAAGGCAGTCCCTTGGTGGGGAGTGCCCATCATCTAAATATTTTAAATACAATTTCACTGTATTTTTGTCTAATCATATAAAAGAAAAAATACACCTATCATAAACTTTTGCTTCTTTTCCTGCATAAATGTTACTAAAATGACCCAGAAGTCTCCCCCAAACTAGAAAAGAAGATGACAGCTGGCCAAAGATAACAATCAAATCAAACAACACCCTGACAGTGCTTGAGTCATTTAAAACGAGACAGGACAAAGCACTTAAGAATGTACCACAGGGAACAACTTGCACTGAGGAGGAGACAACAGTACATGATTTTGGCCCCGATTCAGCAAAGCTCTTAAGCACATGCTTAAGTGCTTTGCTGAATCAGGGCCACCATGAGCCAGATCTTCAGAAAAATCAGAAATGCAACTAACTCTCCTTTCTGCGTAGATACCACGGTGTATTGGTGAACCGAGGGCTCTTACATGCCTGTGCCTAGGCACGAAATCTGCATTTGCAATTATTTAAGCTGCTTGCATCAGTCAGATAGCTTTTACAAACACAACAGTTCTTTGACTATCCTAGAAACCTTTTTCACACTTCTCAATTTTACAATTAGAAAGTGATAGAAATTATGGCTTCAAAGGGTCTCGCTTTCTGCATTCTTGCGCTCATCTGAACTCTTCAACCTCGTGAAGGAAAATAACATAGCAGCTCTGCTTCGTTGCGTTATGTATGAAGAACCTGGAGTTATTTTTAGAGTAAGCATGTTCATGTTTACTCTGAATGTGCTGGTGAAAGCAAGCAGCACAGTTGCACCTTCCTTCAACTATGACTGTTTTTTTTGGGGAAGCCACAATATTCTTTAAACTAAATGGTCAGAAGAGAAACAGCTTTCTGATGCGTTTGTAAAAATTGAAATGTAGGTGTATTCATAATTTAGATCTCGGCACAATTTACATGAATGCTGCTGTGTATACAGAGAAAACACGCTTTTAAAAAATCAGGCTTAAATAAAAAAAATATGCCTGATAAAAATTCACTGGACTATTTCTGATAGTAAGAGGGTCCCATACTTGTGAAATCCAGCTACAGAGTAACTGTAGCTATTTATCTGAGTGCTTTGTTGCCTCCACTGCTAAGAACAGAGGTATTTAGCAGGGAGGAATCTCTAAATAATAACAGCGGGAGTAAGAACAAGATCCCAGCTTGGGGAGGAACACTGTTTAAATACTAATATGAAACTCCAAGTTTCTAACATGAAGTCTGATTTCTTAGAAAATCAGGGACACCGAAATTCTAACTCTTCTTTTTGGTTTTGTTTTTAACTCAGGCGTACTCCCACGAACAACCAAAGCCTTGTGCGCAGGGAGGTACAGGCACGGTGTATTTGTGCACACATGTTACGAGTTCCCGGCTTTTCCAAACAGCAGAAACTTTGCCTTGTTACAGCCAAAGCTACAAAGTTTTGCTCTTTAGTTCAGGCTGCACAGCTAATGCTTTTAGCTCTGAGGGCCAGCGAAGGGGATAGCCACCACGCTATCTTGCTGTCTTATTAATAACTGAGCCAAGATCACCAAACCGTTTCAGCAGCACACGTACACCAGGCTGACATAGTGCTTCTGAAAGTATAATCTTTCATCCAGCTACTCAACCTGACTGCCCGTAGCCCAATAAAACAAGAAGGAAAAATAAAACCTTCCCTGAACTGCCTTTGATTTGCAACACCAGTAACAGCTTACTATTGGGATAGGAGCTACTAATATATGAAATTTCTCCTTTATGCACATTTCTCCCAGGACTCTCGCTTGCTGGTTTACAGGCATTATCAAATGACAGTGCTTCACATCATCTAATGTTATTGCTTAAAATAATTTCCAGTAACTTAACCCAAACTTGTAACATTTTTACCACTTCCTCTTTGGGGCTTTCAGGGTTGCGGTTGCAAATTTAGGAGTTGTGTACACTACTGAAGATTAGGAAAGAGGACAAATCCTTTCAAGCTTCAGCTCTTCTAACCTTTTGAACTGGACTGCTTTTGGTCACTTTGATCTCTAAGGGATTCATACACTTTAATACGTACCGAGGAACTCTGCCAAACAATACAGTTCTGCATTCCTTTGCTGTGTGACAAGTAGAAGTAACCTAGAAAATCCAGCCCCTTACTGCAAAACTTCTCGCAGAGATTTTTTCCAGTGTGGGTTAGTTTTCAAATTTTTAGGTACTATTTTGAAACGGCCAGAGTAATCTTCACTTCTAACCAAACCACTTGGCTGCTTGATAAATACAATTACACTGAATCAGGATGATCTGGGTCTCTTTGTTAAAGCAGAATTCCTCATCAAAGCTTACTTAACATCTGCACTTAAGTTCAAGTGGTTTTCAAACAAAACCAAAAATCCCCGATATCTACAGTGCAGCAAAACCAAGCAGGTTCAGAAGGCATTCCTATAACTCATTGGAAAGTAAACATCAGCGTGATGACGTCTTTGTGCTGACTTAGTTACAAGTCACCCTGCACAATGCAGAATTACTCTTTTCTTCTCAGATATACATCATGTAGCAATGAAAGTACTATTTCACAAAGAGAGTGCAAACTCGTTCTATATCTGCAATTATTTTATCAGCAAAAACCATACAAAAGTCACTAAACCTTGATGAAAAGAAACAGTATCTCATATACATACTGTGAGGCTATTTCATAAGAAATCACCAAAACAAACAGATTTTGCAATTGTAACTCACATGGAGAAAAGGCTGGTGAGAAGATCAGAAAACAGTATTATCACTCAACTTGATATTTAATAGTACGTTACCTAGAAGGCTAATGCCTAAACGAGAGAGCCCCTGTCTCAGTCCTTCTCCCAAGCTCTCTGGAAGCTGCCTTCTCCATTCTTCTTGTCTGTTGTAATGCTCCTCATCCAGTGACAGCCTATCCATATTCCGAGCAAGACTTGTTGCCAGATTGGTAATTGACGTCAGTGTACCTAAATACATGGAGATATACATTTGGGTCTGGATCAAAATGCTTTAATTTAAAACATGGAGACGTTCTATGCCTCACTGAAATACTGAGCTTACGAGCAGAACAGCAAGTCAATTGAAAAGTCGCCCATGTGTAACATGCTTTACTATTTGTTAAGCATCTCCACACTGCTCCGACGGTCCCCGTCACGCCTTTTACATTCGCCTGCACCAGGTTTGCCCGGCTGGTGGGAACAGCAAGTCATCCGAACATCCCTCTCCAGTTCCCCAACTTCTGTGAGGCTAACCTAAACGGAGGGGAGGGGGTGATGGAAAGGTAAACAAATATTTACAGAAGGAGCCCGGGAGGACGTGTCCTGAGGGAGGCTGGAGCAGCAGCAGTGAGCGGCTGGGGTCTCTCCCTGGCGGCGGGAGCCACGCGATGGCACTGTGGATACAGACTTACAGACTTCGCAAAACAAAAGCTGCTCCTGCTCTCCGGCCAGCCCAGCCCTGCTGTCAAAACCTACCCAACCTACTTACACAGTTATGACAACTGTATCTACTTTTTCTTTCTCTTTTTTTTTTTTTTAAAAAAAGAAGTAATAAATATGATGAGGCGACACAGTGTAGAATTTCTGATGGTTAGCAGAAGTACAGAACACCTTTAATATTTCTGCAGTTATCACATGAAATACTGGCTGAGCCAATCTCAGTTTCCCACCGGGAGGCTTAAAATTCTGAAGTTTCTGAAACATTCTTACACACTGTAGTTAAGCGGTGATCTGTTTAATACATAAGATGTTATATATGAGCTTTGTTACCCTCCCAGCATTTCGCTGCAGCCTAGCAAGCCAAACAAAGCTGCAAGCAATATTGTTTAAAACTTTAACACATCCTTTAACAATGCACGACAACAAAGCAGTAGTTGGAACAACAAAGTGAAAGCTCTACCTTTGGAAATGTGTTTTACAAATGATGTTGTTCCTCTGGAAACTCCACTGACAAACGCTCCTGGGCCTCTGGTCAGCCCTTCATAGGGGAGCCTAAAGAAATCAGCTATGCCGTTCCCTATGCTTCTCACCAGACTAGCCGGGCTTCCGAGAATTTCCAACGACCCAACAACCCAGCCTGTGTGGAGAAACAAGACACATGTTAGGGCTGCAAAAACTGCAGAAGCAGCAGTTGTGAAAAGGTTATTCCTTAATTCTCTTTTTCACACTAGAATTCATCGCATTATGAACTTCCCTTGAGCAAAACACGGGAAATAACTCATCCAGTATGAATTCAGAAATGGCAATCTTTCATACTTCGTAAATCAAAGAAATCCTTTTGGCAAACTCACAAATAGCTTTAGAATGACTTCCTTCCAGGAGCTTCCCGTATTTCTGCTAAAAGTGTCCTAGAGAGGCGGATGCTAGAGCCTCACAGCTACAGAGGAACAGGACTGCAAGTTCAGATCGCTGGGTCGGTTTTAGACGCTATAAGGCAGCGTTGTGATTTCACATCCCTATGTGATAGAATTGTGACAGGGAGTTTACACTGATACAATGTACTGCTTTACTGGAGTGTGGAGGTCAATTGCTTGATGGAGTGTTAGGAAAGGGGATGCAGATCTTTGACAAGTGCTTAAGAAGTTATTTTAAATCCACCCAAACCCTTATAAGCTGATCATTTTCTTTTAGAGTTCAGTGAAAGCCAGACAAATGTCTTTTGCTCAGTACAGTTGTGTAAACAGCAATGACATCTACATGCTGATTAGGTTACTCATAGGGGAGTATTCCTTATGCATATCCCAGGAGAGGTATCTGCGGATCTGGTTTCCTATATAAACGCAGGGTTGCCAGCAGCTTGCTGGATGGCTGAGTGTGCAGCAATCTGTTGCTGGAAAGCTGTTTGCAGGTCTTGTCTTTCTCAGGCTGGTTGGCAGCAGATTTATTAGGGAAATAGTGCTGCATAACTTTTTTTTCAGCAGCCCAGAGAGAGCTATTCAGAAATGGCAATAAACGTTAAACGGGAACTGCCTGGTCTTTGAGCCCCAGTACCATGAATTTCAACTGGCACTGTCAGAGCGACACAAGGCACGACAGGGCAAGGAGACTGAAAGATGGACAGATTGGCCTCCTGCTCTCCCACCGAGGGCCCTTGATCTGCGCTGCCCTCCTCATTCCCATCTCGTCACCGTGAACTCCTGCTATCCAGATGCTTTTCTTGTTTTCTAGTAACCCCTCCCAGTCACTCCTGTGGAAGGCTGAATCATGAAACTGAACAGGAGAAAATGTTACTCATATGAAATGAATTAATCGCATACTATCATTCTAAGCTCCTGGAAAATCTATTATTCTTGTTGAATATGTCCCACATTTCAGCCCTGGCAGGTTGAGAACTCGAGTATACGTAGTATAAAAAGCGGGAACCGCAGTGGACATAAGGGGGAGGGTGGGATGGACTATGAAAACAAAAAACAAGTACTACTGGCAATGAGACAAGCAGAGCGGCAACGAGTGCTATGGCCCTGTGGTGCCTGCTCTAGAGAGGAGTGTCCCCCTGGCAGTGCTTCCCTGCTGGGGACCAGGGGAAGCCAGCACTCCAGGCTGGGCCTGCGACTCCCTCGCTGTAGTATTTTTGACAAATTATCCTTGCCACTGTGCGAAGTGATGAAAAGCTGGAGGGGCGGGGAGGCATGTACAGATGGAAGAGATGCTCCTTCTGCTTTTTCTGATCAATAATGTTGCAATAATCCCTTACAACCAGCCCTGTATTTTTTTCTTTTCCTAAATGTTCTCGGCGTTCCTTGTCCTGAGGTGATGATATGACACAAAGGGGCTGCACGACACAGTGGGTTAGTGCCTTGCTGCCCTGCAACACCCCTAGCAGGCACCGCCAGGCCAGGCCGGGACACAGGAGACTCCAACTCCACTCACCTCTTTGGCCAGCCAGTGTGTTCAGGAACGAAAAACAGAGTAAAACCAGGAATGAAACTGGTTAAACACAAAGCTGAGGGGTTGCCTGGTATCCTGGGGATGGGCTGTTGCAGGCTGGCCCTGGCCTGTGGGCTGTCAGTTTTGGGAAGCTCTGGAAGGAGTGTGCTCACCCTTGGAGAGCACATGGGAAGAACGTGCAACCTGCAGCAAGGGTGACTCTCCTTGGCCAATGCTCAGAGCAAAACTAATGGCTCCTCACTGCCGGCATGGACCACCCAATCCAAGGAGGAAGGCGTGGGAGTGAGTCAGGAATAGGAAAATGATGAATCAGGAATAATCCCTCAATTCACAAATTCTGTGCTGCAATTTACTTTGCAGAAATATAATATTATGTCAGTTTACCATTTCACAAAGTATGCTTAGTAATTATATCCACTAATACGAAATAATTATGACTATATTAGCAGAAGGCCACTGCATATTCTTTATAGGCAACTATAGGGTTAGATCTGGCTGATACCAGTAATATCTTTATATAGAATTTTATTAACTTTTAAATAGAAGATAACTTAATTAGCAAAGGATGGGACATTTCCATTGCAAGTTTTGCTAATTTGAGACAAGCAATGCTAACCAGCATATTTGAGCAGAGGTCTCCAGCCCCATTCATTGCTTACGAGCCATGGATTCTGGCCGCTCCTTTGCAACATACGGGGCAGCCTGATACACTGCCTACACTGGCTTTGGGGCAAATCCTGCCCCCTCCCGCAGGACAGTAATGGTCTTGCACACAGCTAAGGGCAAAATGAGACTATATACTGCTTGAAGCATAAAGCATAGCTGTGTTGGAATGCTCTTTGTGCAGATGCTACAACGATTTATGGATGGGGCAGTGGTGAGCAGAAAGGGGGCGAAACAATCCCTCGTTTTGCAGATTAATGTGGTTAAAATGCAACAGAGTGAGGTCCTCTTCCATAAGAGACCGATCCAAGTGTAATTCACCTAATGGTGAGGAAAGGACTCAGAGTTTGCAGATCATATAAAGCTTTTTGCTTGACTTTTTTCTTCCTTTTTAACTTCGTTGACACAGTCAGCCTTCTGACAAGTGTCACAAACTCTTCAAAATAAAGCATCTTCTTTGCCCAAGCAAACATTAATCCACACAATTCACCATTTCAATCATGGTAACCCCTTTCAAAAATACATTTTAGTTTCAGTGCTTTGAGTGGGATTTAAGTAGTAAATCAATATAGGCTTAAGTATTTGCCTGAAGAGAACTTCCACTGAAGCAAACTTCTTAGTATTTAAACCTGCTTGATTTCAGCTCCATTAGAAGCCCAAGAAGAGCAAGGAGTGGCCTGTGCACTGCTGGACACTGCAAGGGTAGCACAGGCAGAAAGACCAAGACCAGGCTCAGGAATCCCTCACTAGCATATGTGCCTCACCTGGGATGTTGCAGATGAAAAGCCAGTATAACCCCAATTTCCTGCTGCAGTCTATCACCACTTGTATCACCACCCCTAGCCAGTTGTGGGGAGAAACATTCACACTCTGGACCATATTTGGCCACAGTTCACTCTTAATTAGCATGAAACTAGATGTCCCCTTTTGTACGATGGGATTTGACTGTAAACAAATCCAAACAAGTAGTAAAAAGAAAAACCTGCAGATTTTGCAATCAAAATAAGAAAAGAAAATAATGAATTGGTGCACAATGTTATGGTGCAGGATTGTGTACACAGTTGCCATAATCAGTTATGCAAATCAGGTATGCACACAGTAAAAGACCAGATCAGCATCTCTCTATTTATAAATACCTGAAATGCATGTGTACAATTTTGGAAACTGTGCATAGAAATCAGCTCGCAGCTATGCTTGCAGCACAAATGGAAGCATCAGGATTTCAGAAAATCTGACCATTAGTACTGCAGGAAAATAAATCCCATGTTTCAATGTGGAGTATTTTACTTGTGTATGATCATGGAGGAGCTTCCTGCTGTCTCAAGTACAAATTCCATTCCACACTAAGACACAGCAGAGACCAAATTTCATTATTTCTAAATTAATATTTATGGGAAAGAGAATGTACCTGCTAACCTAATAGACTAATCGCTCACTATTGATCCTATACGTAAAAAAGTTAGTAACAGCAAACTTCATAGTTCTTGGATCAAAGGACAACAAACATCTGTATGCCAGTTTAGCATGAAGGTTGCATGAAGAAAGACAGATTCCTAATCATAAACTGCAGCCAAAAGGAGTTTTAAAAACAAAACAACGTTCAGGGCTATAATTTACTTCTGAATGCAGAGCAACATGCTGAATAATTTGATTAAATGTAGTTTTTTGGGGAGTTTATGTGAGGAATGTGGGTTGATTCTGACTAGTGCTATAATACAAACTGACAAAATCTAAGCCAGCTAGAATACATTTTTATGCTGCGTTCAGAGTTTCGTAAAGCCTTCAGGCAGCTGGCTAATGTTTAGCACAACTTTACAAATCTTCACTGGTGTCTGCTCAGCCATTTTATTTCCCTTCTGTCGTATGGCAGGACATGAAAGGTGTCTGAAAATATCATTATCAAACAGTGTTTGAGGAAAAGAGTAATTGTATGGCTAACATCTAGGTTATTCAGCTTGAGACGCAATCACAGAATCCTGGTACCTAATAAAAATGCTACATGTTATGGAAAAGTACTGACCTGCTCTGAAAAGTGCTCCAGCAGCATAATGCATGGCCAAGGCATGGACAAGTTGCCTGGCAGTGGTGAAGATGGGTCCTCGCTCAAACACAGAGAAGGAGAGAGGGGTGTGATCTGAGGCTATATACAGTTTCAACGAAGCATGAATACTGACAAGGAGATTAACAGGTTGAATTGTTAATTTTCTTAACTTCACTGGCTTGACTAAAGCTCTTGCATGCTCTCTCACTTGTTCAGGCAGTATCAGGGTAGTATCTGAAGTATTCATGGATTGACGAGCAGTTTTGTTTTCTGGCAGATACGTATCAAACAAAGTCTTAATGTAGTAAACAAAGGTGTCTTCCACATACAGCCTAGCTGGTTTGAGCTCAAAGCTGAGGTCATTCACGTGAAACATGAAATTCTCTTCCTCAGAAAAAGCAATGCAGAGTTTTATAAAGCAGTTTTCCTTATAGCTTTCCAAATCTTTGTTACAAACAATGAGGTTGTTCACTCTGGACCACTGCACGGTCTCATTTTTTTCTCCTTGGCACAGGAGGACCGCAAAATGGAAATTGGATTTGCTGTACAACTGATTGTCCAGTTGCAAGTCTTCACAATACACTTGGAGACTATGAAATTGTGGGAGGCCTTCCATGGCATCCTGCTGGAACTCCTGTGACAGGGGTCTCAGGTAGCTGGTGGCTGGGGCCATGTGGAGGAAAACATTATCTGCTGTGAGACGCAGAAGTTCAGATGACACTTTGTGGTTTGTAATATCATCAAACGCAGTGAGACTTAACTGACTGAGGAACATTTTCAGTGACAGGGTCTGGTCTTGACTTCTAGACAGGAGGGAAAAGAAGTTTTATTACATCATGTATTTTGAGTTCACCTGGCATCTTGCTTTCTCAAAAAACTATCAAGAGAGACGTTCTCTATAATACATGGGAAACTCATTGTACAAGTCCCGTTAATGTTAATGGAATCTGGCAGCCTTAATCACCACAGAGGGTACCACCCAGGGGGTCTTCTAAGAAATGGGATATTACACATCTATGCCAGGTTTCTCTTTCTTTCTTATCAATCAACAGGATAGTTTGGACAGGAACGTCTCTATATACACAGTAATTCCCTAATGGATTTGCAACAGAGCCAGCTATTAAAGCAGACAACAAATACAATTTTCTGATAATTCACATTCAGCCTTAGCTGTTACAATATTTTCTGGGAGCCACTGCTGAAGATTACTATTATGGATAATTCACGTCACATCACACTCAGAGAGTGCCCTCCAATGAAGCCACCACAGCATTTTCATACCGATGGCATTGAGGGTCTCCCCGCCCCGCCCCGGCCCCAGTGTTAACTGCCCGTTGCCAAATTTAACTAGCAAGTGGGCTATTATTTACTGCTGATGACCAGTTCCTTGGGGATTAATACTTAATTACAGTGCAAATAAAAAACAGTACAACAAATTCCACTCTAATTGTAACAGCATTGTCGGAGGCCAGGCATTCTGCATCTTGGAAACAGGTAGTGTTATAATTGCACTTGAATGGAAGTGAGGGCCAGGTTGTGGCGTGTTATGGGAGTGGGGAAGTCTTCTAAAGAAGAGTATTATAATCAAGTACAGTTAATGACTGACTGTAAGACTATTTCTACAGCCCCTGCACATCAAGCTTCCTACCAATTTTAGTGGGAGTTTGTACGATTACAGATGGCAGGACCTACATAAAAATACTTCTTTTTGTATCAGACATCTTTTTGTATCAGACATCTAGTGTTTACCCTAAAGTGACATGACTTTTGATGTTACGTTTTCCTTTTTTAGTGGTGATATACAAAGCACAACATATGGTCTAAACATATGCCATAAAGCATGGAGCAGTATTAAACAAAACAAAGAGTTAAGCCAAAGTTCGTAAGTCAATAATACTTAGAAAGCTGACTGATCTCTCCACACTGTTTTGCAAAGCTTTTTATCATCTTTTATGTTCTTTATGTACCTGTTGAGGTTGATCTCGACAG